TCTGATTTACAGAAATTTAGATGTATTCAAAGTGATCACTTAATTTTTTGAGCCTACCACTATATATGTTGAATACAAATGTTGATATAAATGAAGTGTTAGTCAGTTGTCTACTCAAGTCAATTAAACAACGAACATGAGATTATAAAGGGTACATACAATAAACTATCCGTGGAAATTTACCATCTGAAATTCTTCAATCAGTACAAAGAATTTATAGCAACAAAACTAACAGTCCACTACCTACAAAAAGTTGAATACGCACTTCTGTGTAGTCGCAACTTTTACTGGTGGAAACAGCTATTAAACTGAAGAGCAATAACATGCCGACGTTGAATATTCTATCAATATGATTTGTAAACTTTTATGGGGTGTAAGTTGTAGAATCGCGTAACAATTTACATATCCTTAGCGAACACCTTACAGGAGCTTTCGGTAGACCGAAAAATATTTCAAACACATCACACATAATGTGAATCTAACATACCTTATTAGGAATATAAGAATTACAGACGACACCACATTCAAAGTCAGCATTATTTGATTCCGAAAATTGAAACCTTTCATCCCCTGTACTTAAACTTTCATAAATGAAAGGAACTGCGCCATATTTGCGGCTCTTAGCTTGAGTAGAGAAGTCTAAATTAAGCTTGGAAATGATTGAACTCTCCAGTTTACACTCTTTGATCAGACTGAAAAAGTACTGAGTAGGTGTCCCGACGTTCCCACGAGGCATCCATGATAGTGGTCTGAACTCAGGTAAACAGCTAAATTCTACAAAAATATAATTAATATAAACGAATTGTCACTTACGTTCCACAGTTGCATGGTCTAATAAATGTAAGGTACATTTCAATTCTAAAGGCACATCGTCATTCTCATTAGGCCAATTAAGACCACTGTATAAACGAAAAAGCTCTTTGATATATTTTTCGTAGATAGAGAAAATAGCACAACACGTTGTTTTGCTTTTGGCAACTAGTTTGATGGACTTAAGGAACTTGGTTCCATCTATTTCAGTAGTTGGTTCTATACCCACGATATCTGGTCTGTGACGATAGTGAAAACATGAAAATTTAGATGACTCAACGAACTGTGAGAAAAAATTCCTTAAATTAGAAGCGTGGTAAAACTTAGGTATGCCGGAAATCAATAGAAGTTTAGTATCTTCTGTGGAAATTGAACAGGAATCACTAATGTTGTTAGGATAACTCGCATTCAACATCGGATTCCGCAAAGTCGACTTTCGAAACTTTCTTGAAAACAGAAGTGTTTTCAGCTTGTGTTGATGAGCGTAATAACGAAAATATCGATAATCAGATTCAAGATATTTTTACGTCTCCGGTCTTTGATTGGGCATACTGTTTGCTAGAAGGAACTGGTGAGCTTTAGGACTTTCGGGATCTGTTTTTGAACTGTATACGTTTATTGTCTAGGGAGAGGTATATTTCTTATTTCAGTCTCATGGAGACCTAAAAAGATGAAAACATGAGTTAATAATAGGAGTGGTCGAGAAATGCGGCACTAACATAAATGTTATGGTTGCTTTTTTATAGTATCCCAATGTTTTTTAAATACTCGAATGCATTTTCCTTATTATTACCTGTCAAAATGCAACCAGTCGTCAAGTTCACATATTTCTATCGTTAGCTAAACGGCAAGGCTGACTGACATGTACGTCGTAACCTTGAAGTAACCAACTCGTTTCTGACTGGTTCGGGAGCATTCTTCAGGTTAACCATGACATTTTTTAAAGAAACGGCAGATAATATCAGTATTTCTTTCAGTAATGAAACACATAGTTTACAGTTTCCAACCGTAAAAACGTATGACATAAAAAATCCTTGTATACTCTGTGAGGCATTTGAAGTGCATTGATAGATGTATTTCATTACCAGAAGAAACTTGTCATTTGATTCTTATAACGTTCGGAATCAATAAAAATACATATGGTGGAACAAAAATGTGAAGCTAAGACGATGCTTGAAATAATAAAGTATGCCTGCTTTTAAGGCAGACTGTGTGCTAAAGTACCTATTATGGTTCAATGAGTAACCGAGTGTCTAAATAAATTGGATAGCATTTTCCCATTCCAACCCTTCTGCTAGATTTTATTCCAAGTTTCTCAAGTTTGTAAACAGAGGGTTGACGAAGCAATGCATTATAACTGATGTCTGTGTCTAATGAAAACCACCACCCTCATTTGTACACTCAACATAGAACTCAAGCGCTACTCATAGTATAACTTCCTGACCTTTTCTAAAATATAACCAATGCCATATGATGATGATAACTACGGGGTGATAACCCGAATTATGAACACTATCCCGACTCTCGATATGTAAACTTGAACTTTTTCCTTTACTAAAAAAATCATTTGGCATGAGTGTTGATTGATCAGATCAAAGTTGTTATTCCAATGTTATTTTATTGCGTCTTGTCGTTAATTGTTTGCAACTATGAAGCTTATCCTCATTGACTGATAAGGCACTCCGGTTCATCAGTATGTCGTACTTTCACATCGCACCAATAATATCATGGCAGAATGGAGTCATTTAAAAGATTTTCTACGTCCGCATGGACGCTCCAAGAAGAGCTTTTGAGGAACCACATGAGTTTTGGTACGAATGTTACCGTATTCTAATGCAGGAGATCCCACGAGAAACTTAGACGTTCATTAACAACATAAAATAAATTGTCCGTAAATATATTAAGCCCTTCGTATTTGAGCTTCGTGATTGAGTAACTGAGTCTAACGATTCATTAGTGTGTACAGCTTGGGATCAGGGAGTATAGTTTAACGTTTGGTTAAATTAGGATAGTTTCTGTGAAACGAAACGTAAGGCTTGATGTCAATTCTTAAACTCTAACATTTACATCACGAATTCCAGATACTCATTGTAATCTGTGTATCAACATGATTCCGTACAGATCCCATTTGATAGATCGGAATTGTTTAGCCACCAGAATTTTATGACTTCCAAATACAGTTTTTTCAAATTGAGATGCATTTTTTTAGATATTGAAACGTCACTCAATGCTCTCAGTAGAGTATAGTTAAAACACCAAAATATGTTACGAACCATCAATAACAGCGTAGCGTATAGCTTGAAATTAGTGCTATAGTTAAATGTACAATCTTTATCTTTAAGTATTATAAGTCGGTTGACCTTTATTAATTCTCGTTACTAGTATTCTCAGCGTTGCTATGCACAGCCGTTTTCAAGTCATGAAATAATATATGTTCAATACTTTTTTGTTTCTTGCAAGTGCATGTATGCACTTATCCTGTGGGATATGTGTTTCTTTGATGATATAGTGGAGGCTATTTTTATAACCAGTATCCCTTAGCGCACATCAAGGCAGTCTAACTAATTCATTTGGATCAGTTCGGAGTTCAAGATGGTAACTCTTGCTACATATTGTTCTTCGGCATCGGCGATTTTTGGAAATAGGAGTGTCAATGACTTGAGTACCACCTAAAATTCGTTAAAATAGAGAAGAAACTGTACTGATAAATCGATGTTCAAAGTAGACAGTTCTGTATGTCTTCCGCTTTTGATGCGGAACTGATTAGTTTTAATGGAAACACCTGGCTGAATGTTTTCGGTCACGCGTCCGCACCAGATCATGAGCGGGTACACCATACAACGCTTTTTCTCAAACCATTAGCCAGCTTAGATCTAACGCTTCTCGACACATCGGTAGCCTTTTGAATATAATGTCAGGTCTCTTTACTTCTGACCTCTGATTCGACTGGGTTGGCATACTTTTATCATAACGGAGTCACTGATATGGGCGTTGTCAAACTCCAGATACTTGTTGCATTTTCATGTGCTTTATTTTATTGTTCTGACCGACAGACAGCATTTATGATAACGTCCATTGATGTTTTTAGCCATATTGTGCGCTCTAATTGCGATGTTTCTGTCCTTACTTTGAACATCATCAGCAACTATTTGAGGAGAGAGCAGTTACTTTACCATTTTTATGTTGTTTAAAGTTCCTTAATGTCGACACATAAAATAGAGATACGAAGTGAATTAGTTGAATGTACCGATCTCTTTACTAACCTTGGAATTTTAGTAGTGATGATTGAATAAAATTTGGCTATCAACACAAATTATAATAATAATTTAAGAAAACATATGAACTTAGGTGACTTACACCGGACGTTGAATGCTTGACGAAAAGTAATGAAAGTCGGTCATGGTAGACGTGAGAATATTCCCGAGGCTACCTGGCTGAGCCCTACACTCGTATTCACCTCAAATGTACATCTTTTGTCCTTATGTATTACATATTTTTCTGTCGACGAGGTTATATTCATTGGTCGAATCAAGGTAAGAAATAGTGTTTCCTTGGCATAAGATCATGTAAGTCGGCAAGTCATATCTTGACTAGTCAACTATAGTATACCATGTCTGTTAACTTAATGGCATAAATGGATTAATTAACAACGGACTTAAGTACTGGATATCCTTCATTGGTTACGTGATTTAAATTCGAAAAATACCGTGTTTCAGAGAGAGTTGCATGTAGATCACGTTTTATGATAAATTTGTGTCACATCCATGAAATCAAAATCTCATTTTTTTGTTCAGTGGTATTCATGTGGATTCTCTTATTGTAATAATAATGAGTATTCACAGTGAGCAAACTAGCTTAATCGATAAAAATAACTAGTCGATTATAGCCGTGACTATCTGTTTTGGTTCTTCATTAAGCTCTACAAGCATTCAAATGCTTCGGAGTAATGACTTTGTTTGAACACCAAACACTCTTAAATACGGCACCTGGTAAATGTAAATATATGGAACCTTTGTGTACAAAATCAAGCTCACAAACTTCCTACAGGTAGACACCCCTCGGTTTATTTATAGGGGAAACCAGACCAGTGTTTCAATAAATGTTTATTCAAATCTTGCAACAAAACATACAAATTTCAACGTTCTTTTTAGAATGATGGGAAATAAAATGGGTACACAAAACACACCTCTCGGCGCGCTTTTGAAGGTTGTAACTTTTTTTCACGTGGTATTATTTTATTTTCCTATTAGTTTTTCTCTTTAATTTAACACTTAATAGCGATAAATAATTCGTCACTGATAGGGTTCTATCAATTTGACACCTTATTTAGGAACTCAACGTCATAAATTAATCTTGCTAATTCTCACGCTATCTCTATCACCAATTAACGTTAATATATTTACTCTTAACTAATACTGGGTCTGATCCTACCATAAAACTTCACACGTTCACTAAGTTAAATTACAACTATCGCTGTCCACCTAATTAAACTTTGTATTTACATTACTTCCGATAATGACCAGGCCATCTAAAAAACATATAATCTCTCCTGATGCCTATAGCACCTGCAAAAGATCTAAATCAGTCACTAAAGCGAATAATGTGAAACCTTATAAACACACTGATCAGTCTGCATCCTACTCTGATCTTCCCTCAGCCACACTAAACGTGCACCGTTTACTTGGACAAGACATATCACTACCTTGCATCTCGCTTGTCGATATAAATAAGAGCAGTCACATACCGTTAGAGTCGACATCATTTGTCAGTCCAAACAAAAACACCACATGTTGTGAGCAGTATTTAGACAGTGCTGTTGATCCCAAACACCCAGCAATCTCACAATCGGCCATCCTGAGTAGCGGCCCACGGAGTACATGTAAGCCTGCCTACAATAGCCAGCCCGGTGATGTAGATCTTGACTACTCACCCAGACATATACCCCATCCCCCAACTAAGTGTGCACAAAGTGAACATCCGCTAGACACCTGCAACAGGCCTGTATGTAACCATATCGACCTTAGAAACTTTGATATAAACTCCGATAATCTCACCACTGGTAGACCTAAAAGCAGCCAAACAGAACTTAGCCTCACCCAAACTATTCAAGACCTATTACCTTACAAATATTTAATCAGTGTTCCAGAAAATCCCGATCTGGAAATTATAAAAAACACTGAAAAAGTAATTGACCATATATCATCTGAAGTGTTGAAAAGACTTCAGTGTATGCAGAATGTTATTGTGTATAATATACCTGATAGTACGAACATAAAGATTGCTAAAAATACTCTGCTACAAGAATGTGGATTGTCGCAATCTTGGTGTGTAACAAGAAGATTACGTAAGGCACACACTAAAGCCTCCTGTCCCATTCTATTTCAGTTTGGTAGCACCACTGAAGCTAATCACCTCCTCAATAGTCAGTCATTACTGAGGCGTATTCCAACATTTAAAAAGATTAGGATCATTCATGACAGGACCGCTATCCAGCGTCGAATCTGCAATGGAACACAAACTGATCAACCCAGCTTACGTAGCCGTGGCAGCTACAGCTCTTGTCACTGCACAAACCCTAAAATATCATACACTGCCCCCCCAAAAAACGGAGGCACGTCGGACACTGCTATTAGTCCTAAGGACAAGACCGCACATAAAGCAGCTACAACCACTCACCCTCAGCCCAGACACTCAGCTACCCCAAAATGCCAAACCACTTATGCCTCAATAGCGTCCAAGTATTACCCTAGCGGCCCTATAAAATGCCTAAAAATGATCCTCCCAGGGATCGCGCTAACAGCTACAGACCCTCAGACACCGCTGTGCGAAAAAATACCAAACTCTCCGTAAAAACCCACCAATACTCCAGCACCCCTAACCCAAAACATGCACCTTCTCATAGTAATAGAATGCCCTACAACAAACATAGTGAACTGGCAACACCCACTCATCCTAATGTGAAACGACACTCGACAAGAACCACACCCACACGTGATACCCATAAGTCATATGGTGTCAACCTTGTAAGCCCCATGAACCAACACAAAACTATACACAACAGAAACACCTCTCCTGGCAACAATAACAGGCATTCCTTCATCCCTTACCAGAAACATACAACCTCCCCAACTAACCACAATAGGACTAAAATTGCCCACCGCACACGAGGAAGCCATAACGCTGGCCTACTTGGGAACCCACCTACAGATTCTAGGTACTATCTAAGTCAAGCCACCCAATACAACGGTTTAGTCCCCCCTAATTCGACATGCACACTATCTCATCCTTTTTTATCTCTCTCCCCCTCAACATTACTGCTATGGGGTCTCCAAATGTTGAGGGCGACAATCCCACTATTCTGAAACCATCTATATACTCCGATTTAATGGGGAGTAGCACATCCTACTCAACTTCGATAACTGTCTCTAGTCTTGAAAACTCCTTGACTGAACCCCCTGATCATTCCCCGGACACATTACCTAATCATTCGACTCTACCTTCCACTCTTAGACATACTTCTTTCACCAAAACCACACCCGACTACCCTTCTTGCATTAACCCTACTGGTAATAAACTAAACACTCATCAATATGGAGTCAACGCTCCCAATTCTTCCTTTTCTCATGGCAAAACAGACAAACCACTCGGTTTACATCATACCCTTCTACTAGACAAACAGTCACCGTACCTGACACTTATGTTAATCAACGCTCGATCTGTACAAAGTAAGATGACTTACCTACGCACCCTATTGCTTTTAAACAACCCCTCACTTGTTTTGATAACGGAAAGTTGGCTGTCCTCCGATACCACAGACACATTTCTACAAATAGACACCTATGAGCTCTTCCGCTGTGATCGAGTCACCAAGAAGGGTGGTGGTTGTCTCGTTTATGTATCAAAAAATTTGAGAGCGGAAACCTATAGCGACCACGTCCTCAGCAAACTTCCTGAATCGATATGGCTTACTGTGCACACTCATGAATGTAAAATACTAATCGGATGCATATATCGAGCTCCTAACACTCCTAGTTCAACTGACACTATTATAAGTGAGTCATTTGCTCAGGCTGCCTCGCTTGACTTCACATACAAAATTGTATGTGGTGATTTCAACCTTCCCACCATCAACTGGAAGACACATTCTGGCCCATTGTGCTTTGAAAGCATACTTAGGTCCTTAGACATACACGGCTGGCAACAACATGTACACCTGCCTACACGAAATCACAACATTCTTGACTTGATATTCTGTCATAGTGTCACACCAACATCAATGGTGGTTAGCGAAAAGTTTCACAACAGCGATCATAAAATAGTCCTCTGCACCCTTCCGATTCTTGCCATATGCAACAAATTAAAGACATTAAAAACGCGATTCCAATATAGAGACTATGCAAACGCTGACTGGGAAAACTTTCGATTTCTAATAAAGCACTCTGACTGGGGCAGTTTCTTTACCAGTAATAACCTCTTAGAAACATTAGAAATATTCAATATCACCACCAAATCTGCACTAGACACTACTATACCCTCTAAAATTGGTTTTAAAACAGTTACTCCCTATATAAACCAAAAGACTAGGTCTAAACTGAGAAAACTGAAAAGGATGTACTATATATCAAAAGACTTCAGTGCCCTGCACCAGATATACTCTGTACTTGACGGAGTACAAAGTCAACACAACAAGCATAAACAGGTAGAGGAACGTACTGCGCTCGCTGCTGCATCTAAAGCCCAAGCCCTATGTCGTCTCCTCACGAAACGCATAAGAAAGAACACAGACAACAACATTCACTCCTTACTGCACGATGGAGTAACGTATAATGACCAAACCGTCATATGTGAACTATTAAGTGAATGGTTTTCTCACAATGGGAATACATCTGATGCCCCAGATATCGACATAAAGTGCACCGGCAAAAACTATCTTAGTACCATAAACTTCGACATTAGGAGTATACATACCGCCATTAAAACCCTTAAGCCAAATGCGAGTTCTGGTGCCGATGACATCCCTTCAATCGTTTATAAAATGTCAGGGCCGGACATACAGACGCTACTACTCAAAATATACACATTATCTTTAGAGACAGGTACATATCCGGAAACCTGGAAGGTAACGTATGTTCTTCCCAAACACAAATCCGGACCGAGAAACCTGGTAGAAAACTACAGACCTATAAATATCACTCCAGTCATATCACGCATAATGGAAAAAGTGATACAAAATCAACTATCTGATCACCTACTCAAGGAAGATCTAATAGACCCGTCACAACACGGCTTCATTAGAACAAGGTCGTGCAGTACATGCCTGATAGACTTCTTTAACGAGGTTACTCGTATGCGTGACCAGAAGAAACTAGTTATTATACTATACTTCGATATTAAGAAAGCCTTTGATAAAGTACCTCATAATCTTCTAATCAACAGACTGAAGTCAGTTGGAATTATAAATCCCCTTTTGCAATGGATCAAGTCTTTTCTTACGAACAGATATCAAATAACCAAGATTAACTCTAATACATCTACACCTCGACCGATAACCAGTGGTGTTGTGCAGGGTAGTGTCTTGGGTCCATTGCTCTTTATAATCTACATCAACAATATATGCAGGTGTTTCAGCACAGGTAAGACCTACCTCTATGCCGATGACTTAAAAGTCATCTATAAAACTGACATTTGCGATTTACGCAGTACTATGCAAACAATCCAACATGAACTCAACATGGTAGATGACTGGTGCAAACGCTGGAGGTTAGAGCTCAACATAGAGAAATGCGGCTGGTTATGTATAGGAGACACGTCTCTTAAAATGAAACTAACAATTAGCGATCACACACTCCCCAGACTGGCATCAGTAACTGACCTAGGGGTACATTATTCACACAGTCTTAATTTCTCTGAACACATCTCAGCCAAAGCATCCAAAATGCGGAAATTGCTTGGCTTCATTCTCCGTAATTTCTATCAAAATGAATCTAAAATCCTTCTTTACAAAGTTTGTGTAAGACCTATCCCTTATCCACAACTCATACTTCTATACTTTTCCGCCTGCTTAAATAAACAACTATCCTACAATATACCCTTCTTAACGCTTATACTCTGTTTGGCAAACTATACTTTATACTATAGTCAACAGAGGCACTGCATCGATGCTTTACCCACAGTCCACAGCTTGTAACTGCCTGATAAGCTTGTAAAATGGTACTTATAGAAATAGTGCTTTCCAACAAGTTGTGAGACAGAGGATTGTGTGAGGTATGACGTATATACAAAAATAAGCTTAAATGAGCCTAACATCACAAAAGGAGGGAGGGTGGAGTTACTGACCAGCAAGCATTGATGGTGAGGGCGATAACTTCAATCCACCCGTGTTTGTGGGGACAGAACATTTTGTATGTATCAGGCTCTTTATAATTGAGAATAAGACAGTCAATCTAAGATATAGATTGTCTTCCTACGCTCACCACTCAGACTCATGTTTCCAATAATATGCTGGATTAGCTATTCTACTAAGACAACCTATAACATGCTAACTCGGACTTTTACACTAGGATTGCGTGGCTGACATCGGATGGACAAAAAAAGAAAAGAAAAAAGACAATAAAAGATATAGTCACTAGTATTCTTAACACTTCAACCTCTATATATACACCCTTCTAATAAACCGCTTCCCTTGTACCAACCTTGACTTCCCTTCCTTCATGTGAGCTTACTCCAACTTGTTAAACATCACTACTCGTTGTTCTTTATTAGTACATTCTCTAACATGGAGCCTCTGACTTCACTTCACTCTAACAAGACATAATATGAATTTATTCTAATTTATTATACCTCTGTCCGTTCTACTACACAATGTTAAGCAACCTTTGGCGTTCACATCCAAGTGCCTTGCTGCTCCTCTGTTTCTTTTTTTTTCTCCTTCAGAATCTTGCTCTGAGAGCACAGCTATGAAACTTCTGACGTTTGGAGCAAACTTAACGTACGCGTCCTCTCAAGGTCATAGTTTACAGCAAGCGCTCTACGATTTCACCTTATAACAACTATGAACTTAATAAGTTGGGAAGCATTTTGCGAACCAACAAATGTTGTAATTAATAGATCATGCCTGTAAAAACGGTGTGTACCTGCACATGCAGAAATATATTATTATTATTATTATTATTATTATTAAGTAAATGAATACCTGATTAGTAATTTTTGACATTACAGATAAGTTGTTACAAATCA